CTAAGTTTCTTCACATTAGGAAATTCATGCCTGTGTTTGTTGTGCTTCCTCGTGCTGTAAATCACGTCTTCCCTTCTTCTGATTCCTGTGCAGTCCGACAGTAGCGGGATGTCCTTCTTACTATGCTCAAGGATTCCCATAATATTTGAAACTGTATGTGTCAAATTTCATTCTAACAAACTGAAGATTTCCCAAAATGACTGACTTCTAACTCAAGATTTTAGGTACTGACTGAAGTAGCTTGGAAATAAGATTTTCCTCCGACGGTTAAATAATAAACCAGTTCGGAAATGTACAAAGTCACCAGAAGAGATAGACTGTGACTTAATTGAAGGTGTTGGTAAGGATTAGAGGAAAGTGGGCCAGTTAGAAGGTGGCGGTGGTGACACAAAGAACAGGCAGGGTCTCAAAGGCAGACATTGGCGGGGCCCATCCAAGCACCATATGCGGAGACAGTGCCCTGAAGGACTCTTGACCTGTAGACGAACATGGCCCAGTACGCGGAAGCACACACCAGCCCACGGTCTGTTGCTAGCTCTCAGAGATCTGATCCCAGGCTCACCAGGGATCTGGATGATAAGGATTCCCATAAAGTGTGTCTCTTAGGAGGGGAGGCCATGACCATAGAGTGCAAGTATTTGTACCTGTTTGGTAATTAGTGGTTCTTTTGTAAATTATCAATACAGTAGCATATCTCTGATCTTGGTTAATCTGATATTGCCTCTGGGACGTTGAGGTTTTGTGCCACTTTTATGCCAAAGTGGATTCACAATGGTACCACCCAGTGCAGGTGCAGATGAAGAGCTGGTCACCTGCAGAGGAAGGCACCTGTCCTCTTCTGATGCTCCAGGTGCATACTGTAATTGTGTTCCCTTCCCCCTAATTGCCTCTGTGAAAACGTACTCTTTGGGCTACTAGTGATTCCAGACCCTGTCTGCATATTAGAGTCATCTAAAAACATAAACTTAAAAAATAATTTAATATCTGAGAGGGCCATTCCAGGCCACTTAAAGATGAGAATCTCTGTGCATTGGCACCACTTAGAAGCCCTTTGGGTGATTCTAATATGTCCCCAGGGTTGAGAACCATTAGCTGAGCTATTGATAAAAAGAATATTTTCTGGTAGGGTGAGGAGGAAAAGTTCCCTAATATATATTTTAAAACATTAATGAGCATTTTACAGATGAAGCACCTGAGACTCAGAGACTTGAGGCAACTCGCTCAAGGCTGAATAACTAACAGGTAATGTGGCTGAGATTTAAACCTAAATATTTCTCTTATAAAATACCAGGTTTTTCCATGACATCTAGGAGAATGCAGTACAGAAGGCAGGAACTCTACTAGATTCCGGTGAAGGGAGAGATGAGAGGGCAAGTGGATGGCAGGAAGAGCATCCAGAGTGTGTGTACAGTGGAGTTTTCCAGAAGCTCTGTGACATAACGATGTCATTGTTCTGGTGAAACGTTCGCTTGTGTATTCTGTGCTTAGACATTTTCCCAGTTGTAATTTCTAAAATGGTAAATATAAACAGATACAACACACATAAGCAAAAGCTCTCTGGGGTCCTGAATAATTTTTGAGAGTGCTGAGACCAGAAAGATCCTATTCTAGAGAGAATAGGAAGCCATAACATATACGCATATATATTTATGTGTATGTATGTGTATGTGTGTATATATATACATATAAGTATGTATGTAGTGGCAGGAGACAAGAATGAATACTTAAGTTGGTTCAAATTATAAAGAGCATCGCATAACATGTTGGAAATTGGACTCCAAATCCTTTTGATCTCATACCATCTTTAAAAATATTTGGGGGCTGGGCACGGTGGCTCGCTCCTGTAATCCTAGCACTCTGGGAGGCTGAGGCGGGAAGGTTGCTTGAGGTCAGGAGTTTGAG